CTGTTTCAGTAATGTATACATGCTAAAAATTCCAGCTCTTTCTAAGACTACTCTATTTGGAACTTTGTCCTACCAGGTGATACCAAAAATCCGTCGGAGGCAACGCATATGGAACGTGTTCAGCTTCCTCTCCTGCCATGCACGAAGGGTCCAGGACTCGCTGCAGTGCAGGAGTGTGCTCAGGACACAAGGCTCTATAGACCTGGTGGCGGCGGCGGCAGCTGGAGCAGGTAAGCGAGGTTAGGAGTTGTGGCCAGGGGAGAGGCATGGCGGGAGCGGGAGCACCTGTCAAGAGGGTTTTGCCTCGTTCTTCCCGCCGAGGGTCCCTCCCCCACCTGCTCTTTTCCTGACCTTTCCCGTCGGAGAGGGTCATGGCCTTCCTTGCGTGTGTGTATGGCGCAAACTACCTGTGCCTTCCCGTCGCCTTTCTATAAGAAACGTTTTTTTAAATTTCTCTTTCCGCTTTTGGCCATATTATCTCCACCCCTGTCCCCCCCCCCAAAAAAAGCCAATTCCTGAAAATTAAGAAAACATGCCTCAGGGCATGTGTCAAGTGCCTTTTCTTGTCCAGCAGCTGTACAGTATTAGTGAGTTGCAGCAAAGGCAGTTAATGGCAGGATCTTATGCAAGACTGTTTCTAATTTGAATAGAAGTGGACTCTAGAAGAGCACAAAAGGCATTAGCTATGAAGTAATATATTTGTGAGTACTTACATGGCTCTTGCTTGATTCCTGCTTCAGCACCAAGAAGCTGCTGCCCACTGTCAAGCGATTTTAAAAGGAGGCAATGGCCAGCAGAAAGGATATGTACCTAGTACCTAGGTGGGAATTGGGACCCTGGCAGTTTCTGGGTGAAGACTAGCATTCTACCTATGATAGAAGTAACTTTTTGGTCTGAAAAAAGAAATTCTTCCTGCGAAGTGAATGTGTGTTGAAACCATTTCAAACACACGTTATAATATCTTTCTGTCCCCACGTTCTTTTACAAAATTGGTCCTCTTGTTCATACAGGTCAAACTTCTGCTTCCTTAAACAAGCCTGTGCAATGGCTGACTTAGAATTAGTTAGGAGTTAATATTTCATCTTGTACTTTCCTAGCAAGTTCATTGTGAACCGAGCCTCTTGCAAATTCCAGTGAAACTCTTTGAACCAACGAGGTCTGTAGTGCTCAGGTGACCTAGAGTTTAATTACCCATATGTGATTGAAGTCAGAGATGTTAAGATGTTGACAAAATTAAAGAAGGTAAATAGAAAAAATATTGAGGTACTTTAAAGTCTTTTAAAAATCTGTTTCAGTGTGAACTGTTATGGGTTGAAATCAACTTCTTGAGATATTGAACCATTAAAGCTCACACTAAAACAATTTTTTTTAGTCTTTGAAGAGTCATCGTATTTTGTCCTTGTTCTCTCCCCACCTCTTTTAATTTTGCTGACTTACTAAGACAGACTAATATAGGCACATCTTTGGAAGACTGAGGATGTTTTTCATCTACAGTTCTTGAGCTTTCCTGTAATTGTCCTAAGAAATAGAGCTTTACTATATATTGTTGTAAAAATGTGTCTTTAGGGTGCGTTTGTTCATGTCATTTAATATGAAATGGTGGTCCATGTGCTCTAACATGTAGCTGGCTTATGAAATCTTTGGACTGAAGTAGGCTATTGGTTATGTTCCCAGAGTATGCATTCATGCCAGTAGATCCTGGCTTGTCCAAAGCTGCTCTGTCTAGGTTAAAGATATGCAGAAGCCCTTACTTATGCCTCCTGCAGTAGTGAAGTAGTGGGAACAGAAAGTGTAGACAGGGTGGAAGGAATGTTAGCTAGATTCTAAATGTGAGTTTCAATAGGTAAAATATGATATCAGAAAGAAACCATTTTGCACAAAATCTGAAATTACCATAGAAATATAATCTAGAACCTGCAGAAAATTCTAGTGTAATTGATCAAATTTGATCTTGGACTATGACTGTGTCCGCAAGTGAAAGTAGATGCTTTGATTATTTTTGTAAGCATTTTCCAGGGAATCCAGCATGCACCTAAATAAATTGCTAAACCAAACACACATGCACTTCAGAAGAATAAGAATACAGGACCAAATCTGACCCTTTATCTGGTGTGTAAATACTTCTTGACAGAGGCTGATATGGCACTGCTGGATTTCTTATACTGAGGCTTATTTATTTAACATATTTTCATCTGACTTAAAATGTGCTCAAGGCACCTTGTGGTTAAATCTTAAATAAAATAGGTACACACACAAAAAAGAAATGTAGTAGTAACAGAATAATTCTGAAATCATTAACTAACAACTCAGGAAAATGAAATGGGCTTAGTGACCATTCCTCAACTAGGTTTCTATAGATACTTTGAAGTACAGTACCCATTAAGCCACATTGCAAATGAATGGTTAGGCATTTTGGAAGCTGTAGTCCAAAGCACATGGAGAGTACAGTATCTGGCTCCATACGCACACAGCTGCGTTTGGAAGCTGTAGTCCAAACCATATGGAGAGTATCTGGCTCCATACGCACACAGCTGCGAGGAAATTTCATTGAACACACTGGAGCTTCTTTCTGAGTAAATACTTGCATTTTTAGGCTATATTTATGTCCCTTGTTGGCCTGCAGAAATATTTCACAAGAACATTTCATACCAGTAGAGAGGCCCAAAATAATGTTCGTTAGGCATGCAAGGAATAGAATTATATTGAAAAGGTCCAAAATATATGCCAGCCACCCAGCTAGTACAAGTAACTGCTGGGGGTTGGGGGCATTCTGTTAAGCAAAATATGTTCTTCCCTGGCAGAGCATGAAAACTGGGATCAGCTTGTCCCATTGCCTCTGTAGATGTTTCTAATCACCCCTTTTTACTTTAAGATTCACAGAATGGGTTTAGAGTAAGTAAAAGATGGTGCTCTTATTTTCTTAGGCTTGGCAACAAAATACAAGATTATGTATAACAGTGGTTAGAATAAAATATTTTTTGTGTTTCCACTTTTTGGTGTGAAATGGATTTAGCATCCTAAATCAAATAAGCCCATACTTAGAGCTAATGTGACATTAACTGCTAACTTGGAATCACTTGCTCCCAAAGTGAGAGCTAAGTTTGACTATAATGTGGTTTCTACATGCTTTAAAACCTTGATTCTTTTTCATTTAATGCATTTTCTTTTTTTAACTTGACTGTGGAGCAAACATGTAAGCTTTTCAATACTGACAATGAAAACTTAAACCTGGATGTTTGTGTGTTTTATTATGCTTATCTTATGTTTGATCCACAAAGCAAAACCCAGCAGATATGACTCATCTTGGATAAGTATCTGTTTAAATCCATCAGAAGAAAATAAAAGGGACTGAAAATGACTGCATTATCCTGTCCCTAAGTGGAAATTCATCTTAGATGAGTGTCTGTTTAAATCCATCAGAATAAAATAAAAGGGACTGAAAATGATTACAGTATATTACCCTGTTCCTAAGTGGAAACCTTGGCACATGTTGAGGGGCTCAGTTGTATCTGTTGAGTTATAATTGCATGTGAGCAGATTAAGCATTGCTCCTCCTTTTGTGTTATATGTATCTAAGACTTTAAAATGTCTGCCATGGATCAACTGTTGGCTTGTGCTGTCTGATTAGCAAATATAGAACATGAATGATGATGATGATGATATTGTTGTTGCCATCTTACTTTTCTGCTGCAGATACCCAGAGCAATGTACATATTATTAAACCACTATAATATTAAAAATACATCTGATAACAATATCCACAAACAATAACAAAAACCAATAGTGCTAACACAACAGAAACAAGAAGATACTACACATTCAGACTAATAAGAATAAAAGAAATAGTCATATATCAGAAAAACATTTCCCAGTTATGGGGCAAGAGAAGTCTTTGTCTCTTGTGGTCAGTCAATAAATATTCTGGGATGGCAGGGGCAGTCAAGCATTTGACGTTGGTCTTAATTTAACTGTGGTGTTGTGTTTCTTTAACTCTTTAAAATATAATGTGGTACTTAAAATGTATTTGCTTAGCAGATTCTCAGTGATGTTTCCCAAATATGCTTCAATGCATATGCCACTGGCAAACCTTTGGTGGTCTGTAAGGGAATAAGGATCAGTTGGAGGACATCATGAGGGTGGGTAGCTGGTCTGCTCTGTGAGTGTTTCCTTAATTGTCAGCAGAGAGTTCTACCACTGTGGTAGTCAAATATGCAGTAGAAGCCAAGAGGAGAGATTCCAGTGATGAATCAGGGCTAGCCTTAGATCTACTGAATCGAAAGCCATATACAGTGGTGCCTCGCTAGACGATTGCTTTGTTTAACGACTAATTCGCTTTATGATGAGGTTTTCGGAGCGATCTTGCGCTCCGTTTAACAATGTTTCCTATGGGCAATTTTCGCTTTACGATGTTAGGGACCTTGCCTCACAAGACAGTTAAATTTTAGGTCCCTGTTTTTCACTTTACGATGTTTTGACAGCTCGGGTTTGCTTCGCTAAATGGGTTTTTTAATGGTCGCTGTTTTGTTAGACAGCTGTCTTCACTTGGGAAATACGTTTTGCTTAACTATGTTTCCTATGGCGATTTTCGCTTTACGATGACAATCCATTCCCATTGGAACGGATTATCCGGTTTTCAATGCTTTTCTATGGAAAACCACGTTTCGCTTAACAACGATTTTGCTTGACAGCGATTTTCACGGAAAGCATTAACCTCGTCTTGCGAGGCACCACTGTAATTGTTAGACGCGTCATCTGAATGACCTCACAAGGGTAAGGGTTATGCCAGCTGTGGTGCAGGGGGGAAAAAACAGAAAGGAAAAAAGAGAGAAGGATAAAACACACATTTACGCTCTGACCTGGTGCTGCAAGACCAGCAAGGCTTGGAAAACGGTCTTTTCTCTGCCACAGACTGTACCCACATTGCACTTCGTGGAATTGTTCTGCTGGTGGTATACTCCAAAAGGCTAGCATTGACATTTCAGGCTTTATTCTGCATGAGCATGCAGAGGGTTGCCCTGCATGTCTTACCTTCAGTGAAAATGTTAGGTTTACAAAATGATACTTTCCAACCATTTAACCTACCCCTATGTTCTCAGAACAGCTTATAAATCCCAAATTCCATTGAACCTAATAAGATATTAAGCATGTTAATTTTGAAAGCCATATATTTCCCTCTAAAATAGTGAATCCATATTATGTAAAGTTGAATCCATGTGTATTTTAAATGTTTCAGTAATCATACTGAAAGGTATACATCTTGTATAGTATTAAATAATCAGGACCAGTTTTATAAGTCAAGGAGTGCCTTTAGGGTAGAACATAGGCAACTGAACTCTTGGCCCTTCTTAATTTTTCTCCATTTTGTGCCTTATACTAGCTTTGCACAGGAGTATGCATCTGCTTCTGGCTGATGGTATTCCTTCTGTTATGCTAGTGCAAGAACTCAGGTCTGCTTGTTATGCAATCAAAGTACATTTTTGTGACATTATGCCAGCTCAGTTATTGTTTGAAATTCTGACTGCTTATTTTGTTGACATGAAATACTCTAGATTGACATTTTTGCCTTGGTTGTGTAACAATAAAGGCAACTGAAGCATGTATTCCACAATTTACATTTGAGTTGAAAATAGCTAGGACAGCCCAAGCAAAGTTTAAATTAAACAGGCATACAGTACTTTGGAATTTTTGTTTGGCTGCTGCATTGATAGTGGAATCAAATGGCAGCGAGATGCTGGTATTCATGATGCAGAGTAAATATTAGATGTTAAGTTTAAATATTGGCTACTCTTACATTAACTCTACTTCAGCAGAACTCTAAGAATGTGCCTGAAGCAGTCTGAAACCTTGAAATTAACTAAGGGGGAGGGGGGTTAGGAAATTTTGAGTTTTCACTTTTGCAGTTGCTTTTACAAAATAATAATTCTAGCATTGATTGGACTGTATTGTATTTCCAAAGGTAAACTGATGACGGTGGGAAGCAGGAAACACCCTTGAATAATATAGTTACTTTGTACATACTTTTACCATGAG